TTAGTTGAAATGAATGACTCTCCAGCTTCAGTTTGGGGGGGTGGGCAGAAGAATACCCTACTGGGAAGAAGATGGACCAGGAAGAAGACCTGATGACGGAGGAGGAGATGACAAATGAGGAGAGATGCTTTGGTTTGATGTGAAAAACAAGGAAGGAACTGTCAGGTGGGAGGGAAAACACCCAATATTAACTGAGCACCTGCCACGTGCCCGAAATTGTTCCAAGTCCTTCACAGGTGTGTTCTGATTTAACCCTCACAACCACCCTATGAAGTAAGTACAGACACTGTGCCCATTTTACAGAGGGGGACAGTAAGGCACAGAGAGAGGAGGCCCTTCCTCCAGATCACATAGCTAGAAAGCAGTAAAGGCAGAACTCAAACCCACACAGTCTGAGTCCGGGGTGTCCCCTCTAAATTGCTGCAAGGCATATGGCCTCTTGAAGTCAGGTGTGGAGACGTGCTCTGTGAAGCAGATTGAAGGGGCTGAGCTTGTCACAGGAGAGTTGAGAGAGAGACTGAGAGCAGAGCGTGAGCAGGAATAAGAACATTTAATGGTGGAAGGCAGAAGAGTGGCCAGAAGGAAGGAGAAATAGGAAGAGGAAACACATCAGATGAAACAAGAGGCAGGAAGACAGTGGTTGGTAAAAAGCTCGTTGGACTTGGCACCTGGGTCCTTGATGACCCGTAAGAAAGTGTTAATGGCACTGTGTCAGGACAGCCCAGAGAGGGATGAGCCTAGTGGATGGGAGGATGTAACGGTAGAAAAGGGGGTTCCAGGTTGACTATGAGAATAGGTACAGGAAAGCAGCGCAAAGCAGGAAGCAGGACCCGGGGCAGGGGTCCAGCTGCAGCAGCCGGAGCTCTTAGATGGAGGAGTTAACAGACAGAGCAAAGTTGCAGGAGGCAGGAAGCAGCATTCTCGGTTCACACCAGGCTCAGAGCCCACTGTACCGATCCAGAAACCCTCCCCAGGGCACTTCTTCCCAAGGCCCTCCCCTCTGAGCTGCCTCCTGACTGGCCAGGGTTACTCCAGTTGCTGGTCTAGGAACCCCAGGATGGCAGATGGGGACCTAGCAAAACCGCACTCCAGAGCTAAGGGATTTGGGGGAATCTTTGGCTGCACCAGGTTCAACTGGTTTCTTTAAAGCCCACACTTCCCGGATCCTTTCATGCTAGTGGGCGGCACTTAAGTTCCAGAGAGGTGCAACGAATTCTGAGTTTCCCATCTTGGGGGCCACATAATCTGTGTGTCTGGAAGCATGTGGTGAAACTAGTATTCCCAGAATGCATTCTGAGAAAGACTGTTCTAGCATGTTCTTCAAGAGCAGACGTGCTCACCCCCCCACAACTAAAACATTCTCACCTGTGTCTGCCAATCCCTGCTCAAGGCGAACTCAGGGCAAAGTTAGCCCAGTGAGCTCTGAGGGCTTATCTCTCCGTCCCCGGCACATTCTGACAACATGCTTGTGCTTGTCCTCCATCCTCACAGCACACAATAAAGGCCCTTCACTGAAAAGCACTTTCAGTGAGTCTCTCAAAACACTTGTTTAACAGGAAAGCGCGGTTGGACTAGGGCATTTTCTTTCTTTACAAAAAGAAACCAAATTTCTGTGCTCCGATGATATCATTACATAAATGACTGCAGTTCACACACTTTCGGCCACTGCTTTGCTGGAGCGGGGGCCAGCCTTGGTGTTACTCAGCCCCATGGTGCCGCACGGCTGAGTCATGCTCTGGTGTCTTAAACTGATTCTTTGAAGGAAGTCATCTGTGATGTGAAATGTCAAGACAGACAGATGATGATTAAAAAAAAATAAGAGTTGGGGGTGACACCAATCTTAATTGGGAAATTGTCCAAATGAGAATATGGAGGGGGGACAGAGAGAGGAAGAAGGACCAGGGGAGAAAGATAGGGAGGGAGGAGGGGGGGAGCAGGTTGGATGGGGGTTTGTAGGGGAGACGTGCAAAGGGAGGAGAGAGGTCCAGCATTTACTGAATGTCTCTGTGTGCTTGGGAAGGGCAGAGAGAGGTGTTAGAACAAGGATTTTTGTAAAAGTCACTGGCAGAGTCAGTTGACAGGGGTGTTAGAATAAGGATTTTTGTAAAAGTCACTGGCAAAGTCAGTTGACAGGGGTTTTGAGAAATAAGAAGCACCTAAGTCCCCTAAGAAGATAAACCACCCTCAGAAAAGATTATGAAGACTGAGCTCCTTCACTGCCCCTGTAATGAGGGTAGAAATTGACCAAAAATATGACTTGCAAATAAAAAACATTGAAAGGGCCCTGACAACCAGAATGTGCAGGCAGAGTTGGAAAAAAACAGAGGTGAGAGTTTCCACCCACTACGTGCTTCCCTGGCATTTCTGTAAGCACCCAAGCCAGCCCAGTCCCTTCGCTGCGTCCTGGACCACGCACCTGATCAAGTGGCACCAAGTTCCAACAGCAGAGTTCACCCCCTTACCCCCACGGAGCCAATTCTCTGGCCAACCCATCAGATATCTGCATATGGCAGTGATTCTAAGACTGAGAAAGCAGACTTAGCAGCGCCGCTGGGAAAGGAATGAGGAAGCCCCATGTTTTATTCACTATTCAGGTAATCACCTAGAACTCCCTGCTAACTTGTCGGGCTGCTCCAGCTTTGTCCCCAGCCCACTGAGATCCAGTCTGGACCTGTTATGACGGAGGCCACTTTCCTGCTCACAAAGGTGGAGGGAGATTCCATTCTACTGTCACTGAAGTATCATGATTTTAGTATTTTCTGCTTCAGAGCAGGAAGCACTTAAGCCCAATACTCAACAGCTTAAAATTACAAGGAGAAATCCACACTAAGGTCTAATGTGTCTAAATGTTTGATATGGAAAGGTGGGGGACAAACAATATATTCAAGTCAATGGCCCTCCCAAGTCTGAATGAGATGGGGCCCCTGTGGACACATGTACTCCCCACATTGAAAATCCCGCCACCCAAGAAACTGAAGAACAGCATTCGGACCAGAATGGGCAGAATCATTACACAAATGGGATTTCGTAGCGTGTCACTTTCTCTACAGGTGAAACCTGTTAGAAAAAAACAGTCTTGCCTAGGCACTCATGTCAATAATCCCAGCAATCTGGGAGGCCTAGGCAGGTGAACTGCTTGAGCTCAGGAGTTTGAGACCAGCCTGAGCAAGAGCAAGACCCCGTCTGTATTAAAAATAGAAAAATTAGCTGGGCATGGGTAGGCACCTATAGTCCCAGATACTCAAAAGACTGAGGCAAGAGGACTGCTTGAGCCCAGGAGTTTGACATTGCTGTGAGCTATGATGCCAGAGCACTCTAGCCTGGGCAATAGAGTGAGATTCTGTCTTAAAAATAAATGAGCAAAAATAGTCTCACCAGGTGGCAGAACCCCAAAAGGAGAACCTAGAAGGATTGGCATGAGGCATAACAGAAGTTTCTAGAAAACCTGCAAGGGTAGAATGGCAGTGACAGGGATCTCAGAGAAACCATGTGAAACTGAGGTGATCCTGATGGAGGCTGCAGGGGAGGTGTGCCTGGGAGGCTAGAATCAGAACACTATGACAGCAATTTCTGTAATCAGGAAACTAAAGTCATCTGGCTGGAATCTGAAATATTTTCAACCTGACACCTGCAGCAAATCTGGGGTCCAAAGGGAAAAGGGTGAGCTTCAGCATGGAGAAGAGCTGTAAGAGAAGTGAACGTTGTTTACCAGGATGGGAGAACCAGCAGGAAATGAAATAGAAAAGCCACGAGGAAAAAAGCATCACAGTGAAAGGCAGCTATATTGTTGCCCTAAGTGATGTAAGTCCATGACCACTTTCACACCACACTGGCAGAGTAGAGCAGCTTTGACAGAAACTGTGTGGTCCACAAAGCCTGGAAGGTCAACTCTCTGACCCTCTACAGAAAGTTTGCCAGCCCCTGGTCTGGACTCTGCCTCTGAAGCCAGCTTGATCCTTGGCAAATGGCACAGGCTGCTCATCACAGGCCTCGGATGGCAAGCGAAGACCCAGAAAACTCCTGCTGTATTTCCAAATAACTGAACGCGAGGTAGGATTGCCTCCACGTTCCTTCTAAAGTAGCAGAGGGCATAAGAAGAGACAAGCTGAAAATACTAAAAGGCTCAAAACTGTATCCTGGACCCCCCAAATGTACAGTCCTTTTAGTACACATTACTCTCCAAAAGGGCCCACACACCTGAGATACTTCTGAGAAGATGCTCTCTCTATGCACCGAGAAAGAAGAGATGAAGAAAAGTGCCAAGTATTGGTTGATTTGTTAAAGTACATTTTTTGGAGCATGACTTAAGGATTATGCCATTGTATTGCTCTCATTAACCCATCTGTAGGCATGTGACCATGTACACACACGGGTATAATTTCCTTACTAATGGCTCCAGATCAGTAAATATATATGTACCACTGGTTATTTATATCACACGCCAACAATTTACCAATACAAATAATTTACATCCAAAGTCTGATTGATAGGTATATACTTTTAAAATTCCTGGGTATAGCAACACATAAATTCTTGCACATACAATTCCATTTAAAAAATATACACCCTATGAACTACGCTTAGAGGCCTCCCTAGATGCTTTAGCCAATGTAATAATGGACAACCAATTAGCCTTAGCTTATTCATTCACCACCACCTAATTGTGGTGTTTGTGCAATGTATTAATTTCAAGTTTCTTTACTGAGTTTTATTAATCAATAAAACTTACTATTAAAAAATACACACACACACCCACACCAAGACCTATTTTCTCTGTAGAACAAGTCTTTTAGACTTGGTTTCCCAGCCCTGTCACACTGGGGATGACAGATATGTAGCCAAGCCCACCCACCCTCTCCCAGTTGCATCCTAGGAGGAGATCAGAGAAAGAAGATGCCCACCTAGACTGAAATGGACTGATCACTTTTGGCACATGTGGCCGTGAACCACGGTGGATTTACACACATAGCACGCCATCAGCTGGCTCTCGCTGTGGTTACCTTTTCTGATGGTATCCCGGTTCTCCTCTGCTTCCCTGCTGACTCGACTCTGTTCTGGTTCCACAGTGGACTCCTGGTCATCGAGCTCATCTTCTGTCTCATCATCGCTGTAGGGAACCACTTCATCATTAGGCTGAGAGTCCTCCTCGAATGTTGTCTCTGAGTCTCTTTCTGTGCTCATTCTGCTGGCAAATTGGAACTACCTGGTTGAAAAGAAGGGAAAACCAGAGTGAATTACGGCTCTTGCTCAGCCGTGGGTTGAATGGTGATGGCACCATCAAGACTGATATAGAACTCACAGCTGATAAAGGATCAGGGGAAACGACAATTGGCTAATAATAATTGGTTAAGGAAGATTTAACCAGGAGCACAATTGGGAATAGAACCCCAAATGCCATGGATGCTTCCTAACTATTTAGTGATAATGAAACTGTGGATGTAATCATCAAGTTTACAAACCAGAAGCTACATCTAGTCAAAGAGTTATATAAGGACATACTCATCTAAAATTCTGGTTTTAAAAGAAGAAATATTAGGACCAAGTGGAATTCTTCTAAATGGTGGTGTGTACCAGCAAACTAAAGACAACATCCGGGATCTTTTCAGTGAGGAGAATTTTCCAGTTTACCATGCTGTGTTTTTAGAACAAGAATGTGACTCCTACTGAAATGCCTACATTTTGATGATGCAGCAACAACATGTGGTAAGTCTGCTCCAGTTCGAGAGCTTCAGAATATGGCTATAAATCAGCTCTCACTTTACCACGATCCTCACGAGGCCCTCCCTGTTGATGAGGGACTGGTGGTCTTTCCACAGGCACTGCCCATTCAGACTTCACATACCAACTCAACCTGGGAAGTGTCGAACGGCAGTGAATCTTTTGTGTAATTGTCTATAAACCACTGTTTTGTGGCAGAGCCATATGCAGAGAAATCAGAGAAATAACAAAAGTGGCTCTGAGACTGTAAAAAAACCGGCTTAGAACTGGCATTTGGATCAGTCGGTAAGAAATATTACTATGGGCTCAGCGCTCATAGCACAGTGATTATGGTGTCAGCCACATACACCAGGACTGTCAGGTTCAAACCCAGCCTGGGCCAGCTAAACAACAATGACAGTTGCAACAAAAAATGGTCAGGTGTTGTGGCAGGCGCCTGTAGTCCCAGCTATTTGGGAGGCTAAGGCAGGAGAATTGCTTAAGCCCAGGAGTTTGAGGTTGCTGTGAGCTAGGACTCCACAGCACTCTACAGAGGGGGACATAGTGAGACTCTGTCTCACAAAAAAAAGAAAGAAAGAAAGAAAGAAATATTACTATGGACAGAAAGTTTGCCTCCATTGCCTTGGCTCTTGTTCAAAAGAACATGACCACAGTTGGCACTATTTGCAGTGATAGAAGGGATTGGCCTCTAGAACTCAGGCCAGCATCGATGAAAAACTCTCCCTCTGGTACAGTAAGATCTGCCTTCTCTCCCTATGTGATATTAGTAAGTTATGTTCCAAAGACAGGAAAGGTGGTTGCAGTACTTTCCACACAGCATGAAGTCATGAAGGGGACAGATTACAAGCCAGACGTGATCCACTTTTACAATGCTGCTGGGGGGGAGTTAACGCATCTGGTAAGTGCCTATGTATGCATTCTTGTCCCTGAGGAACGTGGCAATTTTCTTCAGCATCATTGACATTGCAGCATATGATTTGTGTGTGATTTCTAAGGAAATAAGTACCCATCGGTTGCAACTTCACTCAAAGAATCAACGAGGAAGAAAACACTTTTCAAAAGATTTGGCATCATGGCTCTGTAATGAAGATATTAGAAGGTGCACCCAAAATGCACGGGGTCTCCACAAAAAATACACAATGACAATGCATCTTTGTGGACCCAAGTGCAATCAAGGACAAGCACGGTGACAAGATGAACGGTCCATACCAAATCAAAAGGAAGAGACAACCAATGAAAAGCTTACCAAGAAAAGGTCTCTGCTATCTTTGTCCCCACCGGACAGACTGAAAATATATGAAGGTGTGCAGTGAATGTAGCAAACCCATCTGTCCCAGCCACACATTAAAGGAAGAAAATGTAAAGAAAAGAACACGGAGAGAATAAGTGTTAGTTACTTGCAATGATATGGAAAATTCTGTATGTAGGTTTTTAGCATAATTATAGTACTATTTATTCTGGGGCCAGTGACTGACTGCACCGCTCCCCAGTTGGTGTTCAGAGGGTACCAAATTTGCATGGGTATAAGACTGCTGTGGCAGTATTTCAAGTTGGTGGGGTTCTCCATCCAGTGAAATAAATTTAGCAGGTCACACCCGATGTTAAAATAAACTGAAACAGACTACAATGTATCAGATTACAGCACACACAGTGAGACTAAGGCTCTTTGGTAAACCGGTTTTACAAAATGGACACATTCACACATTTATTTGTATTGTGAGTGTTAATATAATTGAATTTCTTTTTTTTTTTTTTTTCCAGTTTTTGGCCAGGGCCAGGTTTGAACCCGCCACCTCCAGTATATGGGGTCAGCACCCTACTCTTTGAGCCACAGGTGCCACCCAACAATTGAATTTCTTTTTTTTTTTTTTTTGAGACAGAGCCTCAAGCTGTCCCCCTGGGTAGAGTACCGTGGCATCACAGCTCACAGCAACCTCCAACTCCTGGG